ATATATATATGTGGTGTCATAGATGCCAGTTAATGGAGAAGTGAATCCATTCTACTCTATATGTTGACCCTTTTTTTGTCAAAAGTAGATGTTTTGTTCATTTTTATTTTCTTGATCTATGAAGCCTCATTTGAAATTCTTGTTTGTCCCATATAGGGGGATGAAGTTGAAGCTTGAGATTTTCCCAGCGGCCACCGACAGTCGCCTCCTCAGAATGGTGAGCACTGCACAACATGTTCAAATTTACACTAAGATTACAAATTAAGGCTCATTTTCATTATGTTTACATGCAGTTCTTTATTTACACGTGTTTAACAAGAGCTGACGTTTTGATGACCATCAGTCATCTTCATCAGGGTTAATATGACTGGTTCACTTTACACTGAAGCTAGGTGTTACTGCTAACAATGCAGTCCAAAACAAGTATAAATACTACGTAATTAAAATGTCAGCAATACTTTCTGTGTAGTAGCCACCCTTTTATAGCCTACTGGACATTTTTATGTTATGACATTTTGCATACAGCCTATTAAAAAAAACCTCTACATTTCATTTTATTATTCTACAGGGTGCATGTGAATATCATCGGCTAATTTCCCACATGGTCCTTTTGTTTAAAACAATATTGCATATTTTCAACACTGTATTCTCAAGAACATCCCCCTGTGTGTTTTCCCTCGGCAGATCGGCCTTCCTGCTATCGGCTTCTCCCCCATGAACCTGACCCCCATCCTGCTGCACGACCACAACGAGTTCCTGAATGAAGATGTCTTCCTGAAGGGCATCGGGATCTACTGTAACATCATCCCCGCTGTGGCCAATCTCAAGATCTAAATAAAAAGACTCCTTTTATGTACGCAACCAAGTGTTTTATTCAGTTGACATTTCAGTGACCGTATGTCTGTCATTTTCATCAGGAAGCGTCGGCTGAATAAAACGGTTGTGTAAAAAGGAGTCTCCTTATTCTGTGCTTTCCCAACGTCATGAAACTACATGTGTTCACGAATGTGAAGATCTAGATTACTTAATTTGATCAGCTGTCATCTGTTTTGCATGGAATACTGCACAATGTTTACTGCTTATAATGGCTTTAAATTGTTTACAGTTGTTTGGTAATTATGGCAATAAAGATATTTCATGTTTATGATTTTAAACAAAAAAGTATACCTTTATAATGTTGCGTGTATACCTTTATAATTAATGTTGCATAAAATGAGTGAAATTATTGAAAATTTATATCATTTTCATAATTAAAGTCTACATAAAGATTTTGTCAAGGATACAAATGACTCAACAAGATACAATGTAGATACAAAATGTACTTAACCTTCAGCATGCCAAGGTAGCTGTTTGGCACCAAATTTTTTTGGTTATGGGATTAGGCAGCAGGGAGGAAGTTATAAAAAAATCCCAAGATAGATTTTTCAAGATTTAGTAATAAAGATGTAATGGAGCACTTCAAATTTCACACGTGTTTGTCTCTTGCTTGGTGTACTGCTGTTGTAAATATGATGTACATGTAGGCATAGAATCAAAATAGCTTGGTGCATTCAGAAGTACCTTACAACAATGACTTAAGTTTGGGATAAAATGTCAATTTGAAAACAATACAATGTATTTTTAACGGTAGCATACATATCAAGCTTGAGTCATTTTTCATTCAACTGATTGCTTACATTTGAAAATGGCATCAAAATGGTTATTCTAATAAAGTTTCAAAGTTTCAAAGATGACATCATCATAATAAGGTTATAATTATAGGACTAACTGTACCATATCTAATCAGCTGTCACAAAACGTTAGAAGTCTAGTTTGGTAAAAGTGGGTCCTTGATTCGTCTGAAGATGGCTAGAAACTTGTCTCCCTTGTTCCTGGTAACCTTCTGGCCTTCCTCCGTGCTTTCATAAAGCTTTTCTACAACAGGATCTTCCTTCTGTCAAAGAAGAAATAGTGTGAAATGTGGAATACTGTATATGAGTTAAATTTGCAGCACCTAACTTTCACAGCGCTCTGAATATCAAGATGAATATGAGTTTGCCATTGAAATTACTCCCCAAGCTGATAGGTCTAGGCTTGGGCTTATTTTGGGCATATTTTAGGCATTTTTATCAGGCTCTATTTTTTGTACTGGTATCTTTTTTTATGCCATCCTAAAAGGGTGGCAAATGCTAACTGTCTGGTAATGGATACTAAGTAGTGGCCAATTTGATACTGTCTTTGCAGCCACTGAAAGATCTGCTTGGAATTTAGATTGAAACAACACCAAAGGTAGGAGCAACATACTGTAATTTACAGTGTAAATGCTTAATAAATAAATGAGTAAATGCTTATAATAAGCAAAATAATTATTTAGTAACTAAAAAGAGATAGTGAAACATCCTGTGTGTAAGAAGAAACGAAAGCACACTTACATATTCTTCTGGAGTCATCTGGTGAAACAATGGGTGCTGTACAAAGTGCTGCTTCATCCATTCATGTACCTCCTCAACATCTGTTATTGTGTAAACTATTGCCTGAAAAAAGGAATTTTCAGAATTTTTGGGTGACCTGCACAGGGCTACACAATCACATTATTTTGTTGTTGGAGGAGGCTATGTGAATGAACTAACCATTGACAAGAATGTACAACAGCCTTGACTGTAATATGACAGCTAAATTTTGTACCAAAGGTGCCTGACTGTCCAAAAAAATAAAATGACATCTTACCCCCTCTGCCAACACGTAGGCATACTCTGCTAACAGGGTGGTGCTGATGATTCTCCACTTGTGTTTGGTCTTCTTGAAGTGCGGATCAGGAAACAGGAAGAACATTTTCTTCAGCTGGGGAGAACACAAGACAACAACAAAAGAGTCAGGACACACGTATAGTTTCTATTTCATGGCATCTTCAAGCAGACAAATCCAGTCCCAAACATAGTTGTCCAGTTGTCACATTACACACTGTCAGTGCCAGTTTTGTGTAAAAAAAAGATCACTTATCCAGTCTTACCTGTCCTTTTCTGAAGAAGTTAGGCAGGTACTTCATGGCATTTGTCCTGATGCAGGCCACATTCTGGTACTTCCCTGGGTGTTTCTCTCTCAGGGCCTTTATTCTGTCCGTCACGTAGTCCGATACCTTTACTCTGATCTCCATCCCCAACATCAGGGTGTCAGGAAACATTGGGGACAGCTCCACTTGGGAGAGAAAAACAAAAACTACATTTACAAATAGCAAAGTACCAGTAGCATGTTTTATAACCTTCTATGTATCGTGGTTCATCCAACTCCTAGCTCTAAAATGTATTTTTGTTGTTGTTACCCGCTATACAGATACCCGGTACCCGGTACAGATACCACTGTTTACCTACCCAGTAACCCGCCGTAGCCACAGCCGATGTCGGCAAACTCCACCAGAGACGCCGGTCGCTCCTCCGCCTCCTTATCATCATCGTGCCTCTCCGCTTTGCTGGGCGACTCAAAGAATGCTGGGTAATATGGCGACCAGTCCATCACATCTGGCTTCACGGGGCTATCAGGGAACGGGGTAGAACATACAAAGTTAAAAATTTCAACCCTCCCTGTAAAACTTACTCTGAAAACACCATCAGATTCAGAGTTTGATACGTGACATGCAGTGTGTTGGATATCTTTGGTTTCTAATACGAACAATCACTGTTTTTGTTTGCATAATATATATGCAATTGCATGCAGTTTTCTTTTGACAGGAGAAAAGTAATGCAGAGAAATGAACGTTTCAGGGGCTCTTTGCAGCTAGTAAGTTAATCAAAGTTCAAATTTACAAGATTTGAAAACAAAACAAAACAAATATCAATATGACGAATAATTCATTTTGAAATTTTTCTGTAGTAGGCACATCTCCAGTAAAAAATTCTACAACCAATTTAAAAATACCGCCAACAACCTCCAAATTATTGGATAAATGTTACAAAATTTTGTTTACAAAATATTTATCACATGGTCGCCCCCCTCCCCAGCCAAACGTATACATATGAGACTAACGTGTTATTATGCCGCTATCTACAACACTAAATATAAGCTCTGCACTTTCTCCATTCATGCTAGAATCCAAACAGTACATTACTCACTAGTCAAAGCTGTGATCAGCCATGGGGTTGGAGTGGGCACGCTGCCGGTAAAACTTCTTCTGCGGAAGGGACGCCATCTTGGGTAACGGCTTCATTTAAGTTGTCCCGAGTATGCAAATGAGGGCGTTCACATGTAAGACATTACACAGCGGTCCCACACGTATGCACCCCTAACTATTCTTGCACATCCTCACATATTCCCACTAATCCTTCCCTATCCTTACACATCCTCACACACCCTCTGCTATCCTTACACATCCTCTCCCATCCTCCTCTATCCTTACACATCCTCACACATCCTAACCAATCCTCCCCAATCCTTACACATCCTCTCCCATCCTTACACATCCTCTCCCATCCTTACACATTCTTACCCATCCTCTCCCATTCTTACACATTCTTACCCATCCTCTCCCATCCTTACACATTCTTACCCACCCTCTCCCATCCTCTTCCATTCTTACACATTCTTACCAATCCTTACACATTCTTACCCAACCTTACCCATCCTTACACATTCTTACCCATCCTTACCCATCCTCTCCCATCCTTACACATTCTCTCCCATCCTCTCCCATCCTTACACATTCTTACCAATCCTTACACATTCTTACACATCCTCTCCCATCCTTACACATTCTTACCCATCCTTACCCATCCTCTCCCATCCTTACACATTCTTACCCACCCTCTCCAATCCTTACACATTCTTACCCATCCTCTCCCATCCTTACACATCCTCTCCCATCCTTACACATTCTTACCCATCCTCTCCCATTCTTACACATTCTTACCAATCCTTACACATTCTTACACATCCTCTCCCATCCTTAAACATTCTTGCCCATCCTCTCCCATCCTTACACATTCTAACCCATCCTCTCCCATCCTTACACATTCTTACCCAACCTTACCCATCCTTACACACTCTTACCCATCCTTACCCATCCTCTTCCATCCTTACACATTCTTACCCATCCTCTTCCATCCTCACACATTCTTACCCATCCTTACACATTCTTACCCATCCTTTCCCATCCTTACACATTCTTACCCATCCTTACCCATCCTCTCCCATCCTTACACATTCTTACCCATCCTCTCCCATCCTTACACATTCTTACCCATCCTCTCCCATCCTTACACATTCTTACCCATCCTCTTCCATCCTTACACATTCTAACCTATCCTCTCACATCCTTACACATTCTTACCCATCCTCTACCCATCCTCCCGCATCCTGACACATTCTAACCCATCCTCCCGCATCCTGACACATTCTAACCCATCCTCCTGCATTCTAACCCATCCTCATCACCCGTTGTCCGCCATTGTACCTTCCGTGTGAATGTTGTATTAAAGCGTCTCCTCCTACGTCGCGACCGTTGTTATCGTTGAGTCATTAACCACGTGTCTTATTAATGACGGAGATAGAATACAGATGAAGAAAAAGGAGCCGGACAAGAACTCTTGAACTCTGAACAACTCACATATATAAACTGAGTCCGATATCAAGACTAAGTCAATAGAATAAGATAATTTTTAAAAAGAGAGGGATGTTACACCTACACATCCAGATACTAAGTTCTCATGAGGCAAACTTAATAGACACCATAGGGGCCTTGCCCTTGTACACACGCAAAATTGGAGTTATTACCTTCGCCAAGAAGGTTATGTTTTCAGTAGCGTTTGTCTGTGTGTGTGTATGTATGTATGTGGGTTTGTGTGTGTGTGGTTTAGCAAGATAACTCGAGAAGCGGTGGATAGATTGGAATGAAACTTGGTAGGTGGGTAGGTCTTCATGAGACCTAGAAATGATTAGATTTTGGGCCCCCTGGCGGCTTACCTAGGTACTGCAGGAGAACTTCCGGTTTTGATATCTCGTGATCTGGACATGCTAGGGTCA